AAGTAGATTGCCCAACCTTCTTTCCGAGGAGTGGCTGGGGGGTTTGAACTGCCAGCCTTCTGGTTAGCAGTCAAATACCTTAGGCACTACGCCACCAGATCTCACCAGAGTTTCTTAATCCAATACTAAAAACATAAAAACATTTTGAAGGGTATCAAAATCTTTAAAGCTTGTTATGTGATTGTCTCAGATAGTATTGATGGGTTAATAGGGACAGTGACTTTGGCAAGCAGATCCTCTAGGACACTCCCCCAAATATTCTATGTATGGTATGCAAGTTACATTTGCTTTACTTTATCTATGACTTTTCACTATCAAATTAGAGAAGTAAAAATCTTACCTCAACAGCAACATCTCTAGCTTTTCTTTGGTGAGGAATTTCATATGCCTCCATTTGTTGCTTTGTGAGTCTTCCTAACTTTTCAGCTAGTACCCTCCAGCCTTTCCCAAGTTTGACAGCAGAAGTCAGAATAGCAGCCTCCTGCGTAAGATGTACCACCAGCCCTTGGCAATCCATCTTTAGCAGAGCCTGCAATAAGTGGGAACAAATGATCTCAAAAAATTATATGCAATTATTAAAAGCAACTAAGTGAGGCTTGATTCTATAAATTAAAATTTTCATACAGATATTCTAGAAAGTGGAGTCCTTTCTTCATCACTTATTAATTTGAGTTTCATAAAACTCAGAAAGTTGGATTCAAGTTTAACAAATCCAACAAGCAAAGCACAGGAGACAAAAGTAGACCAGAATCAGGTGAGATCTCAGAGCAACTCTGTGACTAACTAATTATATTAGCCTTGGCCAAACATACTTAACTAAGCCAAAGCAACTTGACGAGTGCGTTTCTTAATTTTTCAATTATAAAAGGAGGAACCTGAATGATATACTTCCAAAGGTACATGGAGGTTCTGCCTGTTTATGATTTATCAACCAAGGGATGATAGTTTATTCTACAAAACTTAATTCCTTGCCTTATTAAATGATTAGCTACAAGATGTCTTTAAATAGTGAACACACTGGCACTGATAAACATTACTCTATTTTTCAACAAAATATGATTTAAAACACCCCAGGATCATGCCTATTGCACAAAAATGGGATACTCCTACAACTTTGAACAATGCTATTGATGCCTAAGATTTTAAAAATTTCAACTATTTCTCTTCGCCACCAGTACAATGGTACTAAATATAAATCATAAGGTATAGAAGATAAGGCACTTAGCCTTACATAATGCAAAATGGAAAATTATCACATTCCTTCTTCCTTAATCAGACATTTGAGCTTTGTCTCTCACTGAGCATATTGCAAACAAATTTAAGAGTTTCTCTTTTGCCTTGAATGCATATTACAAACATTGCATTATATCTATTTATATCTTTTCTTTATTTGAATATGCAAATAAACATGTTTGATAGTCTCTCATTATTTAATGGCTCCAACTAGCTTTATTTGCCAATATTAAACAGTAAGTTAGAATGAATGTTCAGTTAAAGAAACTATCTGTAATAAGATGTGCCCATGAGAGTGTTCATTCCCATGAACTATACTTGACCTATAACTTTTATACATAGACTATATTGATTAAGCAAGAACGTACAGGATCTTGAAGTAAAGTGTGGAGTGAGTCTACCTATGTTCACTCCAATTGCTTGTTTCAGAGAGAAGACATTTGCATGTCACAAAATCTGAGTTTGAAATCCAGCTCCACATTATGAGTTGGTTGAATCAGAGATGCTAAAGTGCTTTAGAAATTGTCAAGTGTCAAGTATGTAAGGACAGCCAGTGTCAATATCAAGAGGTGACTAGGAGATTTAGACACCACAATTTTAACTTCTTCCTCCCAGTGACCTCAAAAAATACACTGTCCAAGAAAAATGTATACTTACATGCAACTGAAATTTCAAAAGTAGACTTCCGTTCTCCACTCTTCATCACCTTCTGTTCAGATAGCCAGGCCTAAGCCCCTTCCATACAGAAATTCTAACCTCCATGAGGTACAGTATGAGTTTTCCTGCCGACCACTCACTTTAATAGCTCTTTCAGCACAACCGTCTAGTTAACCACCTAAGTTACTCTATGAATTATCATATCTCAACATTGGGTAGGCATGATCAGAGTTAAGCTTTAAAACTATTTGGCCAAATATCTTTTTAGCTCACTAAGAGAATCAAGGAAACAATTTTATGTCTCAAACCTTCCTAGGTACATGATGAACATGAACTATGAAAGATAATTAGATATTATAAAATATGTGTAGGTTCTACTAGGTATAGCTACCACTCTCGGTCTCTGATAGTTCTGAATGGGCAAGATAGAGATTTCAGCATCCCATTTTTGTAGTCTCAAGCATCAACTCTGAAAGCAACAAATATCTTTTTATGAATGCTTATTTGCCTAAAAATGCCATAATAAAGCTCAATATCATTGTGTTGTTGTTGTTGGGTGCCATCCAATGACTCTAATTCATTGTGACCTTATAGGGCAGAGGAGAACTGTCCCATAGTGTTTCATAGACTATAATCTTTACAGGAGCAGATTACCAGTTCTTTTCTTACGAGAAGCCACTGGTGGGTTCAAATGGCCTATCTTTCAGTTTGCAGCTGAGTGCTCAACCATTGCACCACCAGAGCTCCTTCAATATAATTGTAGAATCATCAAAATAATTGAAGAAATGTTTTGTATGAACTTATTTCTTACTTATTCCAATCAATGTTAATGTCACAGACTAAATCTCTCCTTGTCATTGTCTCTCCCAAAATAACATTAAAACTTTCCTCTTCTATGTGATCCTGTCCATGTATCTCACTTGTCCTTTATAGGGCACCAGACTTGCAGAGTTACAACGGTATTTCCTGTAAACATCAGCACATGTTCTTACACAAATATATCACACACACACAATTATACTTGAGTTTGTGTCAGGAAGGCATAGGGGTTTGAAGCATGTTTTGGGGGCCAAAAAGTTTTCAAATACCATCTCTGAGACTGTGCAAACTTGAACAAGACCACTCTTTAGACTCAGTTTCCTCTACGAGGAACATACTAATTACCTCAAGGAGATAAGTACTTAGAGAGTGCCCAGCACAGTATCAACACATACACACCGAATATCATGCAAAAATGTCAGCTACCATTATTATTATTTACACATTCAAATTTAAATTTTTAAGACTTGCCCTTGAGGTATTTTTTGGTTTTGTTTTCTTTCTTTCTTTTTTTTACTGTTATAAAACATTAAATTTCTACTTTAAAGTCAAAACAGTTATTATTCTCCACTGTGATCAAAACTATGCTGCAAAAAATTGACCCCAGAAGTTCTACTAAAACATGAGGATTAGGGAAAGGATTAGGGCAATCATGTTATAGGGTGTGATGCTTTGCATACAGAAGCAGAATATTAAATTGATCAAATGAAGGATACTGATAATATTTTTAAAGACCATTGAAAAGTTAACTTATAGTAAGGGCCAAGTTAATTTTGTTTCAGTTTGCTGTTCTTGTCACGTTATTGGAGCTGTCTAAACATTTGTGAGAGGAAAAGATCTCTTAACTATTATGTCCTGCACAAACAGAATCTTTAATCTTCCTTTAAAAGATGATTCTCAGGAGCCTATTTTCTGGGAAAAATACAATTTAACTTCAAATCCAAGAAACTAATTATATGATTTTGTAGGAAAAGTTTTATATTTACTTTAAAGTAGCTTCAATTTATTTGAGACTTGATAATTTTTTAACTTGTGTTCTCATATCTTTAGTTATAAATCTTGTCAAGTTAATAAAGGTGTTAGTTCACTATGGTAAATAAATCACTGTGATCAAGCAATACTTACCACAACAAGTTCGTAAAGAAACTTCCTTGTCTTTCTAGCTGAATGACAATCTTCCTTTAATTTCTTTACAACACAAGAAACTTTTTCTGATTCTTTTTCTGCTTGTACTCGATCAAAATCTTCCAAAGTCAGATGTGAGTAACCCAGGACATCAGCTAAAACTTTCCAGTCATAAACTTTTTCTGACACTAAGGTCAATACAACTGAGTAGATATAAGTCAGTTTTTTAAAGGGAAGAGCTATTTGTTCAAGAAGATTCTTAGTTGTAAGTACAGTATCCGATGTAGACATCACTTGCTCCTTTGAAATCATTTTGACATTTTTGCAATGCACAAGTCCAACCTTCCCTCTGAGGACTCCCACATACCATTCTTTCACTTTGGACTGTCCAATGGCTTTAACTTTACCTTCTCCAAGAAGAGCTATGGTGTCACCTTTGAAATATTCAAGTAAGTAGTCAATCTTGTTTTGTCTTAACACTGTCTTCAGAGTTACCCCATAATTGGTAAAGCTCAATTTTTTATCTTGAAATGTGGGGTATTTAGCAAGCACTATTGGCAATAAAGGACCCAACTTGAGTTCTTTCTCCTCCTGAAAATGGCCTGGTACATTGGAGAGCTTTTTTAGGTTTGGGGCTAGATCAGGTGTAGTGATAGAGAACTGTGTAATTGGTCTACCATTGGGAGGCTCCACCTGAACAATAAAAGCAAACAAGTGCATCTCTCCAGGGTCAACTAAAGAAAACAAAAATTGTTGATGAACTACTTTGCCTGCCTGCAACTCTTTCTGTTTAATTTCTTTCCTTTCTTCTTCTACCTTTACATTAAAATTAGGATCACATGAAAAAACATAAATCCTTAAATCTTGTGGCTTGTCAAGTGAAAATGAATGCTTCCCCCAGAGCTGAAATACAACCGGAGACATGTTTTTTCCACCCTTTTTAATATCAGGAATTATGATCTTTTCTGGCATGTAACTGTGTCCACAAACTGTGAAAATAGTAGTGAAACTGGGATGGATATATTTGGGTCCATAAATTCCGATTGAGATGGTTTTGTAGATATAATCCCAAATGGTGGCAGATGGTGACTGAACACATTTTGCTTGTGCAGCAACCACAAAATACATCACCTGACTCAAGTCAATTAGTTTAACTTGGATAGTATCTTTATAAATGTAGCAGTTGTTTAACACTTCAAAAGGTCCTCCTCTTTCCAGGCTGTGTAAACACACCATTTCTGTCATGACTTGGCTGAAAGGATCCTTTCTCACTTTGGCCCCGATTTTCATCTCCAGCAAAATGGCTTCCATTGTGTTAAGGTTGTCTAGCATGATCTCCAAGAGTGGGCTTACAGTGCATGAAAGATCATGGTTAAGAGTTTGTGGAGGATCAAGAAAAGCTCTTAGAGATACCTCTTGAAATTCACCCACAGCTACATGACCTTGGGGCACATGAACTGTGATATCTGAATCAGGTAATTGTACTGATCCTCCCTGGTGACTTAATTTACACACAATGATAGTCTCTGCAACTTGTGTTTGGGCCCATCCAGGGCTCTGATTGATTATATTCAAATCCAGACAGGAGCGGGCCAGCTGGCGTTGACTCAACCAAGCCATTTTAAAAGCCTCTCGATCATTTTGAAGCCATTCTAAGTCTTGCGTCAGAATCTGGTCAGAGTTATATGTACTCAGATGGGCATGTGCTGTGTCATCTAAAATGTCCAAAATCTCTGAAACACTTTTAGATCTTCCAGATTCCTTTGAAGACAATTGCCTAGGCAATTGATGGACATGAAGTTCATTACCAGAGGAATCCAGAGAATTTCCAGTTTCCATTTCTCTAAAAAGAAGAAAGGGGTCTTCTTTCAATATGGAAATATTATCACTCTTCTTGTTATTTCTTAGTTGAGCTATGTCATCCAAAAACGGATTAGAAGCTGACAGTTCATTCCAGAATGGATTTGTAGCTTTGGAAACATTATTGTCTTGAAGGGTTAAAGCATCTGGCCAATTGAGAAGCAAACTTGGGTCTTGATGTTCTTGTTATTTAAACAAAAACAAAGCAAAACAATAATGAAGTGGCATTCTGAGATCCATCCAAATCTAATTTTTATCATAGCTTTTAAAAATCCAGACTTATTTTCATTGTCATTTTTTTTATCTCTAGTCTAATAGCTACTACAAAGTTAAGGTTAAATTTGGTCAAATTTTCATATTCTTCTACCAGGTTATTTTGAACATATGTAATGTTATTTTATCTTAAAATATCATTATTTATAAACTGAAAAGTAAATGTTTAATAATTTAGAAAATAATGAATTAAACATATTTTCCTAAGAATGAATGCAACAGCATGCACTTATGACTTATTGTTTCATTTTATTTTGCAAAACCATACCTCTGAACAAACAGAATAATTCAATATTATAGATTTTTCTCAATATTGAATGTTTCATTATATCTAGATTATTGACTTAATATTTTTCTTTTCAGAAAATATTCCATATATAGAAAAATATCAAACACATTTTAAAAACTAAAAAATTTCAAAACAATAAACTGAATGGGATAATCATTATGCATTTATTAGACTATTTTCTGATAATTCTGCATTGATAGATTTTAATAACATGAATTGGAAAAATAGACCACCATTGAGTTTAAGGCATTTGACTACTAGACAGAAGGCTGGTGGTTCAAACCCACCAGCCACTCCTCAGAAGAAGGATTGGGTAATCTACTTCCATAGAGATTGCTCCTCTGAAACCCAAGTAGGGGTTGCTATGAGTCGAATCAACTCGATGGCAGTGAGTTTGTTTGTTTTTATAGTTGGTTTTAACTACTTGAAGGAATTCATTTGGGAGCTTGCGATAACAAAGAATGGTCTTACCTCTCTGAAACTGAGTATTTTAAGGATTTTCCACTCCCACTGCTGATGAGTCCATTTTAACCCAAAGCTACCCTTTAGGGTAGAGTAGAACTACCCCCATAGGGTTTCCAAAGCTGTAGTCTATATGAAAGAAAACTGTCCCATCTTTCTCCCACAGAGCAGCTGGTGGCTTCAAACTGCCAAGCTTTTGGTTAGCAGCCAAACGCTTTAACTACTATGCCACTAGAGCTCCTGTTTTAAAAACTAGCACCTCATTAAAAATACTCATATTTCTAAAATATGAATTACTATATACCCCACAATGTACTGAACCTAATTTTTTGTGTTTAGATTCATACATACTTGGCTATTGCTCAGTAAATATGGGTAGCAATTATTTGGACTTTGCAAAGCTGATGTGCTTTAGAGAAAATGGAAGCCTAAATGGCCAACCAAATTATCAGGTGTTCTCGAGAACAAAAAACTCAAGTTCATTGTCAGAATTTTTTATTTTTGTTCACTATATTATAATCTTGATTTTAAAAGTGTTCTAAGTGTCATATATTAAAAAATAGAAGATGCATTTTTTAAAAGAAAGTGATACTTCTCTTATTTCCACATTTTTCTTTAATCCAGTTCCACCTGATTGTCTTAAAAGTGAATTTTGCTCTCAGGATCAGTTCAATGTTTATATACTCTATGAAGATTTCTTAACACCCTCCAACCACCAGGTAGGTATCTAGTTCACTCCAGATTTTATTCATATATACTTATTGTGTGTACTACTGATGACTAATGAAATCTTGTTCCTAACAATTTTTTTAAAAAATATTCTTTTGCCTCTGCTATTTAATTTTGCACATCTTTACAATAAGTATTTCTTTGATAGGATTGGGATGTTATTATTTTAATATTCTGTAGCACTTTTCACAAGTAAGCCTTCAATAATTACTGGTAATGGACTTGATATTCCAACATGAAAAATAAAATTATAAATTCCTATACCTGTAATATTGGAACTTTTTGAGAGTTTGTGGGCTTCCATATCAATCAAATTTCCTTCAGATCTGCTTCATGAAATTCCTCTTGGCCAAAAATGAGCTCTTTCATTGGCTGTCATTTTTCCACCTACAAAGTAAGCAGATACATACTTTTTTTATGCACACATGTACAGGTTGCCAGAGAAAAGAAACTCAAAGTGGCCAGACATTTACATTAAAAACTGCATGTAAAAATACTCAACTTAGTTTCTCTAACTATGATAGGATGCTGGATTAGATATTCTAAATATGTATTAGCACTCCTTTGAAAAACACTCCAGTGTAAATTAATATACCAGATAAACTTATAGAAGCATTAGCATTACTGATCTCATAACAAAGTAATGAAAATCCCAAGGACAAGAAGAAAAAATAGTACATTGAAACCTCAATAAATAAATTTTCTATGCTTAGACACTGGAAGACTCAGTATCACAAAACTGGAAATTCTCCTCCATTTTATAATTCAATGTAGTTCCAAGAATAATTACAGCATGATATATATGTATATAATATTCATGTTTCATTTGTGTGCTTAATTTATTATGGTATTTTAAAAGTTATCTATAAAAGTAATGGGCTTCAAGGCAATTCAAGGCAATCCAGAAGAAGAGCATGATGGAATGGCATAAGTAATTAGATATCAATATTTATCACAGATATGTAGTAAGTAAGACAATGTAGAATTGGAGCAAAAATAGACCAAGATAATAGAATGAAAACCTCCAAAACAGACCGACTCACACATGGGAACTTAGTATAAGACAGAGGTTGCCACACACAGCAATGTGGAAAGGATGGATGATTGAATAAATGGTGGCAGGACAATTGACATTGAGCACTACTACAGTCCATGCACAAAAATCAATTTCAAGAGATTTAAGGACCTAAAAGTAAAACTCAAAACGTTAAAACTTCAAGAGAATCTAAGACATCATCTCTTTGCTTTCTGAAAAGTGAGTTATTTCATAAGCAAAACACATGTAATGTAAACCATAAAAAAAAAAAAAATCTGCTACATCAAATAACGTAATTTACAAAATGTAAAAGCACAAGACAGAAAATAGAATATATTCCCAATATATATGATTGAGAAAAGAGTACATTCCATGGTATATCAAAGACTCTTATAAATCAATAAACAAAAAATGCAAACAACTCTAGAGAAAAGAAATTTCAGAAATATCTGAACAAGCAATTACAAAACATAATAGACTCTAAATATATGAAAATAGGCTCAATTTCATTGAGATTCAGACAAATACAAAATGAAATCATCAAAGGAAAGACAATTACACCCATCAAATTTGCAAACATTTTAAAATCTGGCAATATCAATTGTTGGCAAAGATATGGAGCAAAGGAAAAATGCTTACATTGCTAGTGGCAGGGTCACTTGGTAAACTTAGAAATCCATTTGTTTTTTCTGGAGAGTCTGAAACTTGTTTTTAAATGTAGAGTAGCTAGAGCAAATGAAAGAAATGATGAAGTAAAGGCTGAACAGAAGATTTCAAAGGGAGCATGAGAAGAGAAAATAAATTCTTACTGTTAAATGTGTAAGGGTCTGGAATTTAAAAACCAAAAGGAAAGAGCATGGCTAGCATTTCCCAAGCTGAAAGAAATGAAGAAAAAATTCAAGCTTCAACCTGCAATATTGAACATTGAACAGCAGTGACCAAAGACCAGACAAGTAAAGAAAAAGGTCATTAAAAAGACAGAATAGGAAGAAAAGACCAAAATGGATGTCAGAAGAGACTTTGAAACTTGCTCTTGAATGGAGCTAAAGTAAATGGAAAAAATGACAGGATAAAAGAGCTGAACAGATTTTAAAGAGCAGTTCAAGAGGATGAAGTCAATTATTAAAATGTACAAAGACTTGGAGTTAGAAAAACATGCTCTACATTTCTCAAGCTGAAAGAACTGAAGAAAAAATTCAAGCCTCAAGTTTCAATGTTGAAGGATTCTATGGGCAAAATATTGACTGATGCAAGAAGCATCAGAAGAAAATAGAAGAAATACACAGAGTCATTATACAAAAAAAGAATCGGTCTATATTCTACTATTTCTGAAGGCAGCATATGATCAAGAACCGATGGTGTTGAGGGAAGAAGTGAAATCTTTACTGAAGGAATTGGAGAAAAACAAGCATCCACAAGTTGATGTTAAATCCATTGATATGTTTTAATAAACAGATGCTGCAGTAGATGCACTTAGTCATCTATGCCAAGTAATTTGGAAGACAGTTACCTGGGCAATTGACTGGAAGAGATCCATATCTGTATCCATTCCAAAGAAAAGTGATCCAACAGAATGTGGAAATTATCAAACAATATCATTACTACCATATGCAAGTAAAATCTTGTTGAGGATAATTCAAATATGGTTGCAGGAGTACATTTACAAGGAACTTTCAGAAGTGCAAGCTGGATTCAGAAGAGTTCGTGGAACGAGGGATATCATTGATGATGTCAGACAGATCCTGAAAGCAAAGAATACCAGAAAGATGTTTATTTGTGTTTTATTGACTATGCAAAAGCATTCAACTCTATGGATCATAACAAATTATGGATAACATTGGGAATAATGGGAATTCAAGAGCACCTGATTGTGCCCAAGAGGCAACTGTACATAGACCAGAAGGCTGCCAGTTGAACAGAACATGGGGATACTGCATAGTTTAAAACCAGGAAGGGTGTGCACCAGGATTGTATTCTTTCAACATACTTATTCAATGTGCATGCTAAGTAAATGCTAAGTAAATAATCTGAGAAGCAAGACTATATGAAGAAGCACATGACATCAAGACTGGAGGAAGACTCATTAACAACCTGCAATATGTAAATAACAACCTTGTTTGCCAAAAGTGAAGATGACTCAAAGCACTTACTGATGAAGATCAGAGGCTTCAGATTTCAGTATGGATTACACCTCAACATTAAAAAAAAAAAAAAAGAAAAATCCTCACAACTGGACCAATAAGCAACATCATGGAAAATGGGGATAAGATGGAAGTTGTCAAGGATTTCATTTTACTTGGATCCACAAAAAACACACATGGAAACAGCAGTCAAGAAATCAGATGTCATATTGCACTGGACAAATCTGTTGTAAAAGAACTCTTTAAAATGTTAAAAAGCAAGTATGTCACTTTGAAGAAAAAAGTGTACCTATCCCAAACCATGATATTTTCCATCACTTCATTATGTGTGTGAAGGCTGGACAATGAATAAGGAAGACTGAAGAAGAGTTGATGCCTTTGAATTATGGTGTTTGTGAAGGATACTGAAAGTATGATGGACTGCCAGACTGTGCTTGGGGGTAGGCTGCAGCAAGCCAGTCCTGGAAGCAGTAGAAGGTGGAAGGTTGTGTGCATGGAGGCAGGCTGCAGTAAACCAGCCCCAGGAGCAGCAGAAGGTGGGAGTTTGTGTGTGTGAAGGCAGGATGCAGTAAGCCAGTCCCAGGAGCAGAGGAAGGTAGGTGTTTTTAATCTTTAAAAACAGGCCAGGTAAGTGAGCAGGGCAAGGGAGACCAGGAAATGAACAGAGCAGTTTGGAAGAGCTAAGGGAGACAAACTTATCTGTCAGTTTGTCGTACTATGGTAGCTTGAGTGTTGCTGTGAAGATGGAGGCTATGTCTCCAGTATTTCAAATGTCAGTAGGCTCACCCATGGTGGACAGGTTTCAGCATAGCTTCCAGGTTAAGATAGATTCAGAAGAAAGAAGAGGCCATCCATTTCTCAAAGAATTGGCCAGTGAAAACTTTATGAATAGCAGTGAAACACTGTCTGATGTATTACTGGAAAACTTTATGAATAGCGCTGAAACACTGTGTGATATGGTAACGGAAGACGAGCCCTTCAGGTCAGAAGGCACTCAAAATATGACTGGAGAAGAGCTGCTTCCTCAGACTAGAGCCAAACTTAATGATGTAGATAGAGTAAAGCTTTCAGGAATCCTGTTTGCTGATGAGGCACATCTCAACGTGAGAAGAAAACAGGTGCAAACATCCATTAATAATTGGAATATGGAATGTATGAAGTATGAATCTAGGAAAATCGGAAGTTGTCAAAAATGAAATGGAACACATAAAGATCAATAACCTAGGCATAAGTGAGCTGAAATGAACTGATTTTGGCCATTTTAAATCAGAAAACCATGGCATTCATCATCACAAAAAAATATATCAAGATCTATCCTGAAGTATAATGCTGTCAGTGATATGATAGTATCTATTCCTTATGTCTATGAGAAAGACCAGTTAATAATACTATTGAAATTTATGCACCACCCACCAAAGCCAAAGATAAGGAAATTGAAGGTTTCTACTAACTTCTGCAGTCTGAAATTGACCAAACATGCAATCAAGATATGTTAATTATCACTGGTGATTGGAATGCAAAAGTTGGAAGCAAAGAAGAATCACCGGTAGTTGGAAAATATGGCCTTGTTGATAGAAATGATGCTGGAGATCGAATGATAGAATTTTGCAAGACCAATGACTTATTCATTGCTTATACCTTTTTTCAACAACACAAACAGTGGCTATACACATGGGCTTTGCCAGATGGAGTACACAGGAATCAGATTGACTACAGCTGTGCCAAGAGGCAATGGAGAAGCTGAATATCTTCAGCCAAAGCAAGGTTAGGAGCTGACTGTAGAACAGACCATCAACTGATCATATGCAAGTTCAAGTTGAAGCTGAAGACAATTAAAACAAGTCCACAAGAGCCAAAAAGTGACCTTGATTATGTTGTTATGTTGTTGTTATGTGCTGTCGAGTTGGACCCTACTCATAGCGACGACTCCTTGGGTTTCTGAGGCAGTATCACTATGGAAGTAGATTGCCCCACCTTCCTTCCAGGATCTTGATTATATACCTCCAGAATTTAGAGACCATCTAAAGAGTAGATTTGATGCATTGAACACCAATGACTGAAAACCAGAGGACCTGTGGGATGACATCAAGAACATCATCCATGAAGAAAGAAAAAGGTCATAAAAAAAAGACAGGAAAGGAAGAAAAGACCAAAATGGATGTCAGAAGAGACTCTGAAACTTTCCTTTGAGTGGAGAGTAGC